TTAGGGTTGTGGACCCTCTGAAGGTCACAATTTTCATCTGATTTTGATGAAACTTGAAATGCAAGTTTATAACCCAAATATCTTGGTTCTTTTCTATTTTCGTACATATCGAATTGTAACTTCCTGAATTAGGCCCCTGGTTGTACGAAAAATCGCGTTTTTAGCTTGTGGCCCCTTTAGAGGTCATAATTATTATCCGATTTAAAAAAAAACCGTTCAAATATATCACCGTTACACCGTAATTTTGTCTGAGTTTGAATTTCATGAAAATTGGACAAAAACTGCCGGACAAAATGGCCGCCCCTCGTACGCAAATATTGTAAACATCTGGTATATCAAAGTTGTGGAACCTCTATTGGCCACAATTTTGATCCGATTTCAATGAAACTCGAAATACATGTTTATATCCCAAAATATTGGTTCCTTTCGATATTCGCTCATATCGGATGTAACTTCCTGAATTATGGCCCTTGATTGAACAAAAAAATCACTTTTTTTAGCTTATGCTCCCTGTAGAGGTCAGAATATTTTCCGATTTTAAAAACCTTTTAAATACATCACTATTCCACAATAATGAAGGTTAAATTCGTATTTCGGGAAAATCGAAATGAAACTGCCCGACAAAATGGCCGCCCTTTGTACATAAATTGTGTAGAAGTGTGTAGAGGTCAAAATTTATATCCGATTTTGATGAAACTTAAAACATATCTTTATATCACAAAGATCTCAATCCCTTTTGATATTTGCACATTTCAGGCCATAACTTTCTGGATTATTGCCCCAGATTGTACAAAAAAATCGCGTTTGTTTTTAGTTTGTTCTCAGTCCATCTCTTGCAAAATGTGGGCGTATCCTGCTGGGCATATATATTATGACTTACATCTTCAAGAAAGATAGGTTGCCAGGCAGCGAAACATACGCCCACAGCAGCTAAATCGTCCGAGCGATCGACAAGGGTTGTCGCATATTTATTCCTTTGAAGGTAATTGGGGACCTTTACAAGACAGTTTCATACAGATCAGATTATAACTTTTGTCGTTTGAGGGTTTACAAGGTTCTATAAATTGATACAAGGGTCTCAACTCTGGAAGTAATCTACAGAAATTGTTGAAATTTGACAGGCTTTTTCGTTTTACTAATTTAAAGAATGCATAGAAATTTCATACAGATCACATGATCACTTTTGTCATTCAAACGTTCACAAGGTTTACAATCGCCATAACTCTAGAAATTATTGACGGAAATTGCTGAAATTCAATAGACCACTGTTTCACAAATTTAAATGATGCATATACATATCAGATGATAACTTTCACCAATCGAGCATTAACAAGGTTTAACAAAGTGAAACAAGGGCCATAACTCTAGAAGTAATCACTAATCTAAATAATGCATAAAAATTTCAGAAAGATCGGATAATACCTTTTGAAGTTAGAGCGTTCACAAGGTTCAATAAAGTGAAACAAGGGCCATAACTCTAGGCGTAATAGACGGAAATTGCTGAAATTCCATAGGCTTCTTCGTTTCACTAATTTAAATCATGCATATAAATTTCACAAAGATTGGGTGATAACCTTTGGCATTAACAGCGTTCACAAGGTTCAATAAAGTGAAACAAGGGCCATAACTCTAGATGTAGTAAACATAAATTGCTGAAATTCAATAGGATTTTTTTGGTTTCACTAATTTAAATAATGCAAATAAATTTCAGAAAGATCGGATGATAAGTTTTTGAGTTAGAGCTTTCACAAGGTTCAATATAGTGAATCAAGAGCCATAACTCTAGACGTAATAAACGGAAATTCAATAGGCTTCTTCGTTTCAATGTGGGCGTATAAAAATTAATCGACTTTTTGCAACAGTGTCATCCGATCTTATTAAATCACTTTCTTTGATATAATAATTTCACTTTCGGACAAAATTAACTCACACCAAGCTCAGTTATTTGGGAAATTAAGATTTTGAAAATACGAGTGCGTCATCAATTATCTGCCTCGGCGAAGTCGTTTGCCGCTGAGTTGCCGTAAGATATCTTATTTGGTGACGTTTGTTTGGAAGCAGTGAATGTTTTATGGTTACGGATTTGTAAAACTATATGAAATATGGACATGTAATATCGCATCGTTGATTGACAAGAATCTTAATAACTGTTATCAGTGATACGAAAACGATGAATTTGACCTGTTCGTGTTTTATTTCATATTGTCGTTTATCACCATGACAAACGTTACGCCATCCGTCGATCGTTACAATATAATTTGATTTAAAAAAAAAGAAAGTTTTAATAGATTCAAACCAAATGACAATGGTGATTTTGTGAGGGAATTACTGGAATATTACAATGTAGAGTAAATATTGGTTGCCAGACAATGAAACATACGTCCTTATGAAAAATTCGTCCCTATATAACATACATGTACGTCCCTAGTCTCTCAACCACCTGAGGGTCCACGAAAGTTATCGCATATGCATTCTTTTGTAAGCAATCATGGGGACATTTACAAGACCATAAATACTGACCAAGAGTGACAATCCATGGTGTTATTATCAGAAATAATTAAAATTGGATTGGCTTTCACTTCTGCCTTGTACTAACATTTATTATATAAAACATGTACCGGTAATTGCATGATAATTTTATCTGTTCAAGTTATCGGAAATCTTGAAAATCAATATTCTTCGTCTCATGAACAAACATTGTGTATAGATTTCAAGTGGATTGAATAATCACTTTAATCTTTAGAACACACACACACACACACACCCACACACACAACGTTTCAAAACTGATAAAGGGCAATAGTGTCGACAGTAATTATTGTAAATCTTTATCTCATGAACCTAAACACAATATATAAATTACAAGTCATTCGGATGATACTTTTATCCCTTCGTCCAGTTGTGGACGACCGACCGAGACGGGGTTACACAAATATACAACCATGTTTCAGAGTGGGCGTATATAAACGAAACGGAAAAGTAATTGTAAAAAAGTGAATTTATTTCTAGTCGAAACTATGCTATACGCATAAAAATATATTTAAGAATGACTAGGTGTAAACAGTATACATTATGAATAATATTTACTTTTGTAAAAAATTTAAAAAATGTATCCTTAATACTTCAAAGGTCAGAAACCCTGCCATTTGTTTTGAGATCAAAGGAGACTAATTGATCGAGAAAGAGTTTTACGTTTCATCTTTAAAACCAGCCGTCTACTGTTTTATCGGTATGTTCAACGTGTTCAATCGCTACTACTCTATTTCTTTGGAGTACAAATTTCAGCTCTACAAATCTATCCATTTATTTGTGATTTAGTTAGATTTAAGACATTGTCTTAACTCATCTTTAGAATTGACGATTGTACGGTAGTGCATCTATTGTCCATTTATACACAGGTTGCCAGTTAAACATCTTGAAATGCTAATGAACGATGACCTAGTCACTTAAGTACAAGAAGGAATTTCTTTCTGGGATCCTCGAACAATGATTGAATTTTGAAATGGAGTGGACCCTTTATAGTTTGGTTGACTCCATTTAACAACGGGTGTCTTTGATCGAATTAAATTCCCAGATTTGTCTTTAATTTAGCTAATTTTATTTTATACCAATTATATGAAACGAATATTTTAGATGTAAATAAAGAAATCTAGATTAGTATACTGATCAATCAAATACGCCCCAAGTTGTCAACAAAGTAGACAATTTGTCCACTGATCAGTCCCGGTTCCCCTTTAAGATTTTTCATTCCCTTTCGAACAGTCATGATAATACCATCCATCTTAATTTGAAGCTTTTACTTTCCATGAGGTGTCGTGTTCATAGAAATATTCAATCTATGATCATTATTTCGGTGTGTCGTGTGTAATTTCCGGAATTTCAGACTAACATGTGACCTGTTGGCAGTCTCGTCACGAACTATATTCATCAAAGTCAGTTGTCGTTATCTTTTAAAATGACTCCCATGCTGACTTTGAATAAATTTTCTATTCATGGAGATTGATATGATCAGAGTCGTAACGATTTTCACCATTTCTTATGACATTTTCTGAATGACATAATTTTACGGGGTTGATAAGGTCTCGTACTAGAGATTGTATATTGCAATATTTAGGTTGAGTACACTTTCTTCAGTAGTCATTGTTTACATAATATGTAAATCAATACATGTGTAGAATTAGCATTTAAATATGCATAACTCCAAGTTTCTTCAATTCAACCACTAGATGGCGATTAAGTGATTTGCCCTTTTAAAAAAGTAAACCATATGTCCCTACGCGAACCCGACATAGGTCAACATCCTAGCTTACTCGTCATAAATGAAACAAGAGGTAATCAGAACCAGGTATCTCCAATAGTAAAGAGCCAAAAACACACCATTTTGCAAAAAAAATTAATGATCCATTAGTTTTTGGTTTGCTGTTCCAGATAGTCCCCGATAACTAAAGCTTCTGAGAATTTTTTTCCTAAATTCCAGAGTTTATCACTGTAATGAGGTAGTATGTGATGGTGTGTGAAAGCATTGATTCAGTATTGGGTGGTATATAGTACTTCGAAAATCGTTCTTGAGTTTGAAATGAATAATGTCAATACGATATTTGAAGGAATATAAGTTCGATGTACACCTTATACGTGTCCCCTCTGTTTTAAACTACTATGATACTACATAAATTATGTATGTATAAATCGAGATTATGCTGTTGAATAAGGGATGGTACCCGTGAGAGCATCTCTGTGCTGGATTGGTCAAGAGATTATCTTATTCAGCCTCTAAAATACACCAGGACTGGTTAAGATGTGCTTACTCTTTCTAGAACACAATCATGATACCACTTTTTGTTTGAGGAATTCACATAGCTAACAAGGGAAAATGGCTCAAATGAAAAACAAATGATGGTGTTTTATTGTTAGTGGTGCTATGGATGTACTTGTCTGAATTCAATGTCTCTTATATGTTCATGCGCCTGTGTCAGTATAATTAATAATTTCTTTCTTTCCAGGAGGTGGATGCCAGGAACTCCCATATGACCTTCCCAAGGCCCGTATGGCGTATGCCACCAATACTTCAGTTGTATATCGTTGTTCAGGTGATTATGAACTAAATGCGGGTGATTTGGTGCGGACCTGTGTTAATGGAACATGGACGGGTTTTCCGCCTTCATGTACTGCAGAAGGTAAGTGCGGACCTCAGTCTAAAAAGTTATTATAAATTTATAAAGACAGATCTGCACTTCTTGACACATTGTGTTTTTAAGAATATGTATATCCCACGTTTAAATGACTCTTCAAAAATCAATCAATTTGAGTTCATTCCGCAAAAATGCGACATATGCAAAGTTCAGCCATTAAAGGCCTCTTGAATTTCACGTTTTTATATAGCCTTCAGTCACCGATTGCCTAGAAATGTTTTTAAATAATGTAATGTCAGCCCTCCAGACTTCAAAGTTATTTTCTAGAAGTCATGACATTAATGACTTACTTAACAGTTTCTTCCTGTTCTCTTCCCGCGGCTGTGCAATAAACCAAATTATAAAATTACAGGCCATTTTTTGGCAGTTTATTGAAATAGTTAAAAAGAGAAAAGAAGCTAAGTTGCTCAATCGATAACATTTGTTAAAAATATTGAGCCCTATTTTTCAATCCCCGATTATTATTTTTTAGGCATAACTCACTTATAAAGCAATTCAAAATCAAACCGATAAAGGTAATATTATATTGTTTCGGATATGTGACATAACTATGTTTTAAATTTTGCAGGCCTCCTACCGAAGGGTTACATGGTACTTCTGATTGTTGGTGGCATTATTCTCCTATTTCTGATCTGTATTCCCGTAGATTTTTATCGTTATCGGAAACGCAAGAAAGTGTGTCGTGAACGCAGAGAGCGGATGGAGATGATGACCCGGATAGAACCATTACATGCAAATTTAGATAGGGGCTACCCATTAACCGGGAATGAACAAGCCTCGAATGAACCAGCCAAATTTAGCTTCCGTTCAATATTGTCTTTCTTTAGATTGGTTCGTAATACTCGAAAACGAAACGAGGAAAAGCGGAACGCGAGTCGTACAGTCACGGTTGATGCTGGCGGCCAAAATTCGGATTCACCCACAGAATCAATAGACATGCACATAACTAATGCCAATGGCATTCATAAGCTTCCAGACATTAAAGAAACCAATGAAAACCCTGGATTTGATTCAGCGGAAACAGAATTACACGCAGTCTCGTCAGTAGTTCAAGTGACCAATGAGAACGAAGAAAACCCAACTTTTAATCCTATGGGACTCACATACGATTCGCCCACGAAATCACTACCTAGTGTGAATTTACTTAGTGACGAAGTTACTGAAAAGATACCTAAACACAAAACCTTTCGAATATCAGAAGTCGGGCCTCCACGGAGTCGATCTGATGAAACAGTTACTGACAAAGATTCGAACAGATACGAAAGGGTTCAGTTAGTGTCGGAGTGTCAACGTGCAGCCATGTTTAAAGGCAAAAAGATTAGACGTACATCATTACCTCCCCTTGTTGATCCTACCAGTCCCACAGAACAACCAATCAACATTGATTAGATAATACTCATTTGACCATGTCACACTGTTCTGAAATAATGGACGATACTGATATTTCATAGTAATTTAAGGTAGTGTTAATATTTTGTTATCTGTTTAGTAATATGTGTTTGGTTTCATTGACAAGAAATGTATTGTTAACTGTAGTGTTCAGAATACTGGCTTGTCATAGTGATTGTTCATAGGAAACTAATTGCATTTTTGTATATATTGGCCGTTTGGCAGTGAATGTGCCCAAAAAGTTTGACAGAACTTAAACCCGACGTTGGTCTATTTTGATTTGCTGTCAACAGTTAACCTTGGATATGACTACATGGTTAAGTAACTCGGGGGGGGGGGGGGGGGGGGTGGCAGTGCTGGTTTGGCTGGTAGGTGCAGAGCAGTGGGACACTGAACCCGATTTCATTTAATTTCATTCACTTATACAAAGTACGTATTATGTAGTTGAAAACAAAACTATTTGTATTTCGGTTGCGGATGATTGAATCTATTTTGATACTGTTAGTAAGATATAAAAATTCTTATAATCACGTAGGTAATCTTGGGTGATCGTACGGCAATTTCGAAAGGGGTACTATCAGTGCGATACACGTCACAGACCATCCGTGACTGCTGGACTCAGGGGCGTACATAACGATTTTGTTTGGGGGGGTGTTTAGCGAAAATGCGACCGACTGATGCCCATACCCCTAGTACGAGTGACGCAATCAGGAACCGAGCACCACAGGTGCGAGTTTTGTAGATCTAGATAGGGGTGGGTGGTGGGGTCCAAATCTAGGGCGCCACCTCAGCCACAATCCCACCCCACAATGAATGTCAGCAAAATACTGGCTGTAACATTAAGCGTCCCGGTAGAACATAGATGGTATTGTATAATTATATAGTTGTTTGCCGATCGTTGTCTCGCTGGAAAGCAGTTTTATTTAAGTTGACATAAAGTTTATGTCATATATGATTGTGCCTATAACACTGAGCAACCTGAGAAAATTTTGAAAAATTGAGCCAATATCTTGGCATTTGAGGTCATTGCTGGGAGAAATTCTTGTGGACGAGGGGGCCAGAAATGTGAGTCAATTAGACAAATTCTCGAGATTGCCCCTGTCAATTCCGCCTGTTTTGCAAGAGTTGACAGAACTTTTGTATAGTCTGACGCCCCACGACCCACACACCAGTGCCAGTGGTCTTACTAACATAACTAGGCAGTTCAGTATCACCGTGAATATGATAGTGCCGAGACAGTATAAGACAACAGAGGAGTGGAAGAATGATGTTATAATGGAATCGAACGCCGCAGGCGCGAAAAAATTTGAGATGTTTAACCGAGCTTTTGATTTTTGGGACTGGGCCTGACAATTTTAGTCAATGTCATGGCAAATGGATCCAAATTCTCGTTAACGAGAGGATAAGAAATGGGACAGAATCTTGAGGCCTATCTGTCAATGTCGCCTGTTTTGTGAGAGTAGAACTAACAATTCTACAGTCTTTTGACCCACGACTCACTCACTAGTGGTACTACTAACTGGGCGATTCACTAGGCGTTTTTGTGAACCGATTAGATTAGACCGATTAGCTATTATACGCATTTGTGAACCAAGTTGATTATGCTAATCGTTACATTTGTGAGACGATTTAACTCAACTGATTAGGCAAATCGACCTAATCGTCCCAGGAGGTGTTTAGGCGATTAGATTTGACGTTTTCAAAATGGCGGAATGTTCGACATCATAAGTAATTTTTAATGCTTATTGTTGTTTTTCTCCATAAAAAATGTTTTTTTAAAACGCATTTGATGTGTTTAAAGTAGCTAAGTCTCTAACTCAATATCATCCCAAATCTTCAACATTGAAAACACGATTTATTTGTCAAATTATATCAACATTCATGTTGTGATCTTAACGGGAAAAGATGGGCTTTTGATATCCAATATTTAAGACAAAATAAACATTTTACCATTGGTACACGAATCGTGTACCATAATGCGCTTCAGCCCTAGTTGTATCAAGAGACTCGAGGGACGAGGCTAGACACATTGCACCAAATCAAACGGCGTATGTAAACTGGAATAACCAGACGCTAGAAATTTGCACTCGCTTGAGACTGCTGGCTTATTTCGCCGAACATAACGGATTTGAAATTGGAGTAAAAACGGAAACCATTGAATGTAAATCAGTTTATATACATTCGTATTACAGTATTATATGCATTGCGACCCACTTTTGTCAATTTCTAGGTCCCAAATGTTAGCGATTTAGCTCCTTTAATGTTAACTTTATAGTCCACAAGAATGTTAGATCACCTCTGGCTCTAAGCAATTTTAGGCCCTCTGGGTGCCAGCAGTGTCACTGTAATCTGTAGGTAACTTGGACTACACGTGAAACACACGCCCCCCTCGTCATGTTAGCAGAGACAATTTTTTTTCTGATCGGTGTCCGTGGTGGCAGCCATCTTACCAAATCGTAATTATCAAATTTCACATTTGTGGACCATAGCTAATCAAATCGAAATCATACCAAATCGTACTAGCAAATCAAAACCTAATCTAATCGACTCACAAAAACGCCTACTGTAACTGTGAATATGATAGTGATGAGATAGTAAAGGTCAGAGAAGGAGTTGAAGAATGATGGCATAATGGAATTGAGCGCCGATATGCAACTGGGCTTTTAATTTTTGGGGACTGGGCCTGAGGGCACTTTACCTCAATGGGGCGCTTACTTGGTCTCTGAAATGCCCTGGACTTTGTGGAGAGATTTTGCAGAATTCTGATGGTCAGAAAACACCCCATTAATTCATTTAGTCTGAGACCGACTGCAGTGAGCACTTTTTTTTTGAGACCGACTATTTTTTTGCCATGGGTTGAAAAACATTTTTTTCAAACATGATGAGTCGACAAGGTTATTTTATACTAAAGTCTTGCGTGAGTAGAGTGACGTGTGCAGTGAGCATTTATTTTGATACCGACTGCTCATATCTTACGACCGACTGCACTGATTTTGCGACCGACTTTGAGATCTATTCTGGCATTATTTGTTTACCTCATTAATTCATTAAGACGGCGATGCATAATTTTGAGACCGACTGCAGTGACTGCACTTATTTTGAAACCGACTAATTTTTCTCCCTGGGGGAAATTTTGTTCTTAGACCTACATGCTCACAACAGAATAAGAGTGAAACACATTAAGTTGACAAGGTTATTTTATACTAAAGTTTTGCGTGAGTAGCGTGACGTGTGCAGTCAGCACTTATTTTGACACCGACTGTTTTATTTTGCGACCGACTGCACTGATTTTGCGACTGCTCTTATTTTGCGACCGACTGCACTGATTTTGCGACCGACTATTTTTTTTCCTGGGGGGTACGGTACCCCCCCCCCCCCCCCCACATTTACGCCCCTGGCTGGACTAACATCGCAGAAAACCCCCACAACTGGGCCAGGATTGCCCTAGGTCGCCTGAAGAACACGATCGATGGCAATCGCAGTTCGAATATAACTTTAGGATACAGGATTCGTTATATACAGTGCATATAGACGCAAAAAAAAAATAATCAAATATAGCATGATAAATAATTTGATATGTATAATGATAAAAACATATATAATATGAAATGGCAAGAATTAATGACTTTTTTACTACCGGTATTGACATTTTAACACGAGCTAGTTTTAGTACTATAATAATATTTTATTGTATGTTATTATATTTTTATGCGTTATGACAAATGTTAGAATGTCCAATAATGAGAATTTTATCGTTGATGATTTAGTATTAGGTTTGGGGTTATTGAATTTGATGTATGTCATTGTTTTCAGGCGAATTGTTACGTTTTCATGTTTATAAAAAGCTCATGTCATAGTCGTAGTCAAAATGATATCTAACCTATTTTTACTGTATATTATTTCGTCACCACCCTGCCGTCAGTAATTGACTTGTGAATGCGATAGAGACTATAGTTTTTAAAGATTCGGTATGAAGTGGGATCATGAGATGGCGAATCCTATCGATATTCAGCATTCCGCGACGCTTAGTTTCAAAGTCAATGCCCTCTTTTCAAAAATCCTTGTGAACACGATCGGGGCTGTATGTTTTAACTTATTATTTTTCAAATTTGGTATTGAAGCATTGGGATAATTAGCAGACGAACCCTATCAATGTTCATCTTCCGGAGTTATCCCCCCTTTACAGAAACCCTTGTGTGTAAGGGATTGGGAGGGAACGAACCCTGTTGAAATACATGTTCTGAAAAACCTGGGGGCAATATCCAAGCAATCTGATTAAAACACAAATCCTATTTCGTTTCGTTTTTTATAGTTCAGAATTTCGTTTTACTTGTCTTCACTACACTGGGATCTGGAAGAGTTGTTATATTACCGGCGTTTTGGTTAAGTGAAGGATAAACCAATAAAACGGTCTGTTACGGTGACTTCTTGGCATGCCATGCATAGAACTGTGGGTAAACTACTAGAAACGTCAACGTTGATTGATTAATCAATGTTTGACGTCATAGGATCAAATGCCGCTCGTACGACCCCTGACACGACCTTAAAGTACAACTTCTAAGATCTTCGTGTAGTGTAGGCCATCGAAAGTATAAAAAAACGAAACAAAATATAGATCTGTATTTTAATCAGACTGATATCCAAGTTTTTCTTTCGCATAAACTGCTGCTGAGACATGGCTGCTGTGTGGATGTATGTTATAAGACTTCCAATCATTGACGGACTAGGAACAATGAAAGCAAATAATTTCTAGACCTGGTTTCAAAACATATTAATGTAAAAAATATTTAAATTTATCAATGTTAACTAAAATTGTGTCAATTTGAAGGTCTTATCCACCCTATGCATTCGATTGAGTTCAGAAAAATAATAATCTAAGCCAGACTAATCTTTTCGTTTTGCTGGGATTATGCAACGTGTCTTTTTACTCACAATTCCACCGCGTGTCACTCAAAGAAAATTATGCAATTCTAAGCATTATGTCCTGGCGATATAGGTATCCATTCTTAAAGGACAATATTGGTGTCAGTCATTATCACATATGTGATAGAACTGGTTCTTCAGTCAGTCATATAGAAGGATAACTCGTGTTTTCCTTTTGCATTCGTCACTTCCGAATGTTGAAACCTTTTACGCATCTATCGTAGCAATGATCTCTGTGTTAAAATTATATTTGGGACGTGTTTAACCAGTTCTATCACATATGTGGTAATGACTGACACCAACATTGTCCTTTAATATATCAAAGACAATATCGCAAATATACCATGCGCTTTTGTGATAGATAAAGTAAATTTGTGTAGTATTGGGGGGGGGGGGGGTAAATTCACCAGATAATGCTTTAGAGTTCTCTGTATGGAATTATTATCAGATTAAGAGAATGTATGTCCAGTTGTTACATACAAATATTTCATTAATATTTTAAAACTACTATTTGGGATGTATTTAGTATGTATAAATATATATTTTACATTATTAATGTAGCCATATATGCCAAGTTTATATTGCATTTCCCTGATTCCCACCTAAGGCCATTCCCACCAGGAACTGTGAAGATGATCTTACTGTTTACAGTCTGGATAACTTCACTAACTCTTTTGTATTTTATTTGTGCTTTTTAACTGGAATAATATAGCCAATATTGCACAGACGTAAAATATTCGCATATGCGAAATATAATTCTTTTACTGATAACTTAAAATTTAAAACCAGATTTACAGAGAAATTAAATACACATGATGTATTTTCCTAAAATTGGCAATGTCCCCTTAGCGTTTCCTGTAAGATTGCTTCCAACCATAAAGAAAAGTAATCGAATTGTAAAGTTTAACGCATTATTTTAGCCGTGTATGTTCGTGTTATTGTGTGATAAATGTGTATTAACTATCTGTGATAATTTATTTTGTATAATATATTTTAAATCATTATATAGACCTAGACATGTACATTACACTACATACGTTTGTATCATTATTTGTCCATTGGCGACATCAGCATTATAGTAAATATTTTATTTTAAACATAATATATAAAATCAGATAATATAACCCAATGAACTAACTACATAAATAACATAATATATTGTTGAATGTTTCAAAATAGTCTTTCCATTATCTTTGTAAAATCCCCAGTAACTGGTCCCCTGCACTTGCGTCACATTCGGAACTTGGGCGTAGCCGTTTCGAACCAACCATAACACAGATATTTGATTATATTTGGAATGTGTAGAACCTCTTCTATCATAAAAGTGAAATTAGTTGAAGCCAAAACCGTCCTTTAAACCTACTTATCGATTGTGAATTCACTATTTAAACAAACAAAATTACGGTATGTTGCTGTTTAGAACATGTTTCGTAGGTGTATATTAATACAACTATAGAAAACTTACATTCGCCATCCACTTGTACCTGCGGTGCCCTCTTTATCTATCGACGCCTCAAAGGCGTCATGTTGGGTATTTTTGCATGAGTAAGAACAACGGGAAGATTCACAATAAAAAAAAACTATAGTATAGAATCAATTGGAAATACAAATACACTCTATGTGTAAATGAACATTCTATATAGCTGGTTGGAGTACAACCTAATCGATGATATGGCATAACAGAAAAGCATTATGAAGTTATTAAATCATGCTGGATTTATTTAGGTTTTTGGTCCCTTGGGGTTTGAAACCTATATTTATTAAGTGCCAATTTGTCAGACGATAAATGATTTTACCAGATCGATAAGATAGTTATAGGCAAGCACGGTGATAATCTTCCGATCTGGTTGGGTCTGAAAGACGTGCTATAAATAGTCTAATTTTTCACCTAAGGCGAAATTCTTTGAAATATGGATAATGATTAGCAATTGTACATGGTGGACCTTAGGCGTTCAATCTTTCATCTACAATATAATATGACTATCATGCAATGGAGTTATAGGCTGGGCGCATATCCAGAAAATATTGCAACCACGTAGTACACGCCTAATTTACATAAATTGTAGTGTTGATGCTATTCCCAAACTACAGAGAAAACTGTTCATTCTCGGTATCCCCAGTGGCTTCATTCTATTGTACTCCACTATACCCTGGGTTCATCCCTGGGATATTAGCGTATTCGAATTATCTGCCCTTCATCGTAGCTTGATTCTACGAACCAATCAAAAACAGTTTACAAACTATTCTTAGCCTCATTGTTTACGTCCACGTGGCGGCTTGTTCGCTCGATCATGAGAAAGTTTGCAAGAAATTTAATATAAAAGAAGTGACATGCACACAAAAGGAAAAAATGTTTTTCTTTCAGTTTCTATGTAATTAACGCTATTTTTTTTAAATGGTCGATGAAAATAGCACAATCATTAAGGGCAGATAATTTGAATACGTGTCTCCCCCATAGATAAATCAAGGGTTTAGTGGAGTGAAACGGAATCAGACCCTGGGGATACCGAGGATGTACTGTTTGGAAATACTATAATACATTGCTATTGCGTTTAACGTGCCACATTCTGATAGGTGAAGAGTTTTGTAACTTATACCTTTACCAGGGTCTTTATTCCTAAACATGTAAATCTCTTAAAATGTGCTGCTTAGCAGAGTTATCCCACTCCACCCCTTTTGCTACAGGTTATAGCTTTTTAATAGCTAATTTTCAAATATGATGTGAGGCATTTGGGCCATAGGAGGGCGCTATTGATAATCCCCATTCGTTCCATAGTTACGTCGTCTTAAACGAAACCTTATAAATGAGCACGATAGAGGTTACAGGTTTTAACAGATCTTTTTCAGATTTGCTGTGAAGCATTGGGTTCATGAGATGACGAACCCTATTCATTGTTTCACATCGACCCGTAATGAATTTACTCCGCCCCTCACCCCACCCCTTGCCGAAAACCTTTTGTACACGTATGTGAAGCATTGTAGCCACGAGAAGACGAATAATGTCGAAATTCAGCGTTCCGTTAAGGCGATAGCGGCTACAGATTTTAACGAATTTCTTGCGAGCTTTTGAGACAATGAGAGCACGATCCCTATCGATGTACCCTGTTCTCCACCTCTTGCATGAAAGCTTTGGGTGTAAAACAAAGGTTTTGTTTTGTATTTTAGTTATTTAAAACAATGCTATTTATCTTAAAGTTTTCCAATGGTAAGTATCGCCCTATCACACAATAATAAACCATGCTTGACACTTTCTTTGAAGCTCACTTTCTTTGATAAGGTGAAGTCGTGACAGGAGATTTATTTTGAGAGATATTTTCGTAATCCAAGATCGTTACACGATTCCACTTAGGAATTCAAACATTTGCCCTCGAAAGACAAGATGAAAAGAAAATTAATTGGAATTTATTTAATAAGGTTTACATCCACGTATCTTTTATTTAAATAGAATTTTTGAACATGAAAGAGAAGAGGAGAGTCTTAGTGTGTATTATTGGTTGGTTATCTCGTCTTATAAGGATTGTTATTTCTCTTACTTAACTGTCAAACCTGATTAAAACATTGGTTAAGGTAAGTAATGTTAAAAGTGGAGTTTACACCCATTATTTTATAATAGTACTAGCAGGATACCCGGCTTCGCTCGGGGGTCATAACTCCGAAACCGGAAGTGGTAGACTAACGCCACCTGGCCTATGTTACTCCCCGGTCCGAGCTACCCCTATACCCCAAATTTCAGACTCGGGGCAGACCTAGTGTAGCCGCCAACCCCGAACAGACCGGCTTCGCTCGGGGGTCATAACTCCGAAACCGGAAGTGGTAGACTAACGCCACCTGGTCTATATTACTCCCCGGTCCGAGCTACCCCTATACCCCAAATTTCAGACTCGGGGCAGACCTAGTGTAGCCGCCAACGCCGAACAGACAGACTTCGCTCAGGGGTCATAACTCCGATACCGGAAGTGGCAGACTAACGCCACCTGGCCTATGTTACTCCCAGGTCCGAGCTACCACTATACCCCAAAATTCAGAGTCGGGGCAGACCTTTTGTAGCCGCCAACCCCGAACAGACCGGCTTCGCTCGGGGGTCATAACTCCGAAACCGGAAGTGGTAGACTAACACCACCTGGCCTATGTTACTCCCCGGTCCGAGCTTCCCCTATACCCCAAATTTTAGACTCGGGGCAGATGTAGCCGCAAATCCCGAACAGACAGACTTCGCTCGGGGGTCATAACTCCGAAACCGGAAGTGGTAGACTAACGCCACCTGGCCTATGCTACTCCCCGGTCCGGGCTACCCCTATACCCCAAATTTCAGACTCGGGGCAGACCTAGTGTAGCCGCCAACCCCGAACAGACCGGCTTCGCTCGGGGGTCATAACTCCGAAACCGGAAGTGGTAGACTAACGTCACCTGGCCTATGTTACTTCCCGGTCCGAGCTACCCCTATACCCCAAATTTCAGACTCGGGGCAGACCTAGTGTAGCCGCCAACCCCGAACAGACAGACAGACAGACAAACGACAGTCACAAATATATATATAATAATAGATAGATATGCAGGACAAGACAAAACCACGAACATTGTAAGCTGCAAAAAACACGGAAACAAAGGCACTGTAAAATCAAGTGAATATAGAAATGAAGCGAATGAAATGGGGTTTAACGTCCTACTGTTCTACTCCGACTGGACGGACATCCGCCATACAATGTGCTATGGGGGACATTTGCTCAGACAGCGACGCTACGGCCTATACTAAGACTTATTGCATCTGCCAAGGGTTCTTTTACGTGCACGCTAATATGTACACGGGACCTCGAATTTTCGTCCCATTCGAATAACTGGGATAAAGTTTTCTGGTACAACTGATATGAAAATATTGAAGTGTCTCTTTAATTATAATAAAAATAATTTTTCCTTCGAGGTAATTCAATATATTCTGTAGTTAAAGAATCAATCATTTATTTCTTCATTTGAACACAATTAGATTCAGAGACATCAAGGCGGAAATAGTTTATGTTATTAATGAATTCCATTTCTCTCAGAAGAACTGCTGAAGATTCTGTTTCTGGCAGATAATTAAAGACAAGCCATCGATATTCCAAATAATTTTTTTTTATTTGGTTGATCAGAATCATGGCATTCCTAGAATACGTTATCCAAGTACGTGTACAATAATTAAGTGTGGTTTAATGGCCGAGAGCGAGACAGAGAGAGAGAGAGAAATAGGGTTTAACGTCCACTCGACACAATCTTTCGGGACTAACATATGGTTCAGTTTTATTTCAATAATTCGCTTGCGCGTAGCGGTCTTTAGCAGTAGGAGGAAACCAGAGGACCCGGAGAAAACCCACGAGGTGACCGTACTCCTTGTCACGTACAGCCGGGAAATCGAATCCACGCCAGCTGACTTAATGACAGACCTTATGATACCGCGCGTACACGCTAACCATTCGGTCACCCAACCCCGCCCGAGAGCGAAACATTAAGTAATATATTGAAACAGCTTTTGCTTATCAATGAAGTAACTAGTAATGTACGCTTGGCACATTGCCCGTGTCATTATTTGAAATAATGGTACGCCAACATCAAAGCCCTGTATACGGTTTTGGCCAACATCAAAGAATGACGTCACATCCGTATTTTAACACTTCTTTAAACATACATTATGCAAGAGCTAAATCTGCCTATTGCCGGTCTTTCTTTAGACCTGTTATATCCAGACCATAATCAACCCTTGATGTCATCGCTAGCCTACTATATGTACTGGATTACAATCCGATCTGCTGCCCAACGCTCATTGATGATTAAATAAAAAAAAAATGATAAACGAGACTACGTTTTTTTATCGCACCGACTTTAATAATGTTGGTCGAGGCTAGGCCTAAAATTCAATCTCTAAATTCTCGGTTCAGAAATGATCAATTTGACTGAAATTTTCAGCAAATTCCCATTATATTATGTAGTTTTTAACTATTATAATTAGAACTGCCAGCTCTTTATATAATCTCCCATAATGTATCTTTAATTGATGCCTTTTGCTCAAGGGAGATAATTACCCCTCTATTATTCACTATTGCGCGCATGTAAATCATTAAAATTGCACTTAAATGATGATTTATATAAAGTCAACTCAAAGTCAATAATATCACCCATTTCACAATAATTAGCATTGACTAAAAGGGTAAGAATGTTAATAGGTATTGTTGTGATTTTGGTACTACATTATTAATTAGACATTAATTAATTATCTTATCCAGACCATAATTAACTCTCGGTGCCATCGTTAACCTGCAATGGAATACGTTTTTGAAAAATAATTAAACGTAAATGATCAAGGCTAGCATAAATTCAAAAGCTAATATCTCGGTTCAGAGTGGAGCAATTAGACTGAAATTGTCAGCATATTCTATTTACGTTATCTATTTTTTAACTATTAACTGTCAACTCTGTATCTAATCACCCATAATGCCCCTTAAATGGTGAATCAATCAAAATTTTCGCTACGTTAGAGAATGTAAATGCTGACGTGAAATAGCCAGGAAACGCCATTTAACCTCCCAAAAAAAGAGAACGTCCACGGTACTACAGTCGCACTTGAACTCAGTCTCCCCCCCCCCCCCTTTGCTCATGGCGGTTTTTGTTACAGTTTTAGTCTATAATCGAAGAAGAAAGTATAAGTATGAACTGACACTTTTTGTCAGGTTTTGGTGAATAGTCATGATTGGGAACGGAAGGATAATGGAATTAAGAGCATGGATATGATGAAAAGTACTGCGGAGTTCAAATGTTTACTAGTATATTACTTCTAATTTGTGTATCTTATAATTTCCATGGTCAGTCCCATACAAGCTCTTAAGCAAGAGAATGTAATATATTGTCCGGTCGGTGGAAGAGAAAGTTCGGCAAACGAAACTTTTGGGGAGAATCTAAAGCCAGGCAAAGAGACAGGAGTTAACATTAACGTCAATCAGAAAGTCATTGGTTGTCTTCCTCCGTGTCATGTTTTCGCGGTCTGAGGTTACTACCCCCGGGATGAAAAACCGAGGCCCAACCGTTCACCTAAAATAACCCTTGACAGTTTGAATTCGACTAGCTGGAAGCATAGAACACTGTATGACGTATACCCATCTTCATTTGCCCGGTTGGTAAGCCACATGTCCATGGTCATCTCCCTACAAGATTTTGAGCGAGCGAGAATCGGGTTTTGTTGCGTCTGTAGCAGAGAGAGCATTCCGGCTGACGAAATTGTTTGGAAACACGAACCGAACAATAGGGAACTCTTTAGTGTTCGGCCTCTGTGCACAGGAATCTGACCTTCTAATCGTATATATGCATACACCATACCGAACTAGACAATACTACAATAAAAAAAAAGAACAGCGATGCAATGCCCGTTGAAGCCTCGATTTTACCTGCTCTCGCTTAGGCTCGGTTTTTTTTTCAACAATTAGTAATTTGCATAAATACTCCCCACAAAACGAATCATACCACTTGTTTCCAATATTTACATTATTTTCATTCGATAACGTCTGTATTCGAAGAAAGCAGAAGACTATTATAATGGGTTCGTCCGTCTGTCCGTCCGTCTGTCTGTCTGTCTGTCACACTTTTTGGGACACAATAACTCTCTTTCTAATTGAGCTAGAATGTTCAAACTTGGTGTAGGTGTTTATAAGCTCAATACCTTGATGTAATGTGTAATGTCTCTTTAATAATTCACCATCGAATCGAAACGAAGTTTTCTATCATTTTGGGATGCATTTGATCATGGGCAAACAAAAAGGCGTTGAAAAGAAATCACACTTATTTATAGTTCAAAGCAATATATATATTTTAATCAATGTGACAAGTATATCTATATCACACAACCAATAATAAACCATATTTAATCTTCAAAGATTACTCATATTAATAGATCAAAGACGTGACGCTAAATTTATTTATATCCTAGATATATTCGCATTGGAATATCGTTGTAGGATTTCAGTTTGAACCCTGCCCTCACAAGACGTTTTGAACAGAAAATTAAACGGCATATCTTTAATAACATTAAAATTTATATCTATTTGTTTTAAATTAAAATAAAAGACTAGGCTGAATATATGTAACATTTATTTTGAGTTTGTGTTATCTGCTAACAAGGATCGGGAAAACGTTAAAGGGCAAGCAACTGGTAAGCTAATGAAATCGACTGTGTAATGCATAATAATTGATTTGAAACGACGCTTTCTAATGGAGGTTGGGGACCTATCCTTTAAGCGTCTGGAGTAAACATACATTATGCAAGAGCTAAATCTGCCTATTGCAGATCTTTTTTAGGCCTGAAATGTCAATGCTAGCCTGCGATGTTTACTGGATTAGGATACCATTTGCTGCTCCACTTTCATTCTTGATTTAATCATGAAATGGATAATCGAGACTATGTTTTTTATCGTACCGACCAAAGAGTATTAATATTTATACTCCTAGGTACCGACTTTAGAAATGATGATCGAGGCCAGGCCGAAAATTCAATCGCTAAAATCTCGGTTCAGAGTGGATCAATTTGACTGAAATTTTCAGCAAATTCACTTT